AAAAATTCCCCTCCCCCCACCCTGGGGGTTTATTCCGCCTTCTTCTTGGCCAGACCCGGGAGCTTCGCCTGGATCCTACAGAGAGAGGGGGGGGAGAGATGATTTGGGGGGGGCCCACAGGGATTTTGGGGGGGTGGGGGGCTCCCCGGGATTTTGGGGAGGGGGCTCCTGTGAGCACCTACTTGGCCATGAGGTCCTTGGTCTGGCGGCGGACGAGGCCCATGTAGTGATTGATCTGCACCTGGGGGAGACAGGGGGGCAAATGGGGGCTTCAGGGGGGTCCCCCTCCGTTTCTGGGGGTGTCCCCCTTCGTTTTGGGGGCGTCCCCTTGATTTTTTTGGGGGGGGGATGATCCCCTTAAATTTGGGGAGCTCTCTTCAGTTTGGGGCTCACCTGGTATTTCTCATACAGGGGTGGGAGGCTGAAGGCCAAGATGTCGCTGGGGGGAAAAAAAAAATGTGGGGGGTCCGGGGGGGTTATTTGGGGGGAACCCCCTCTCAGTGCTAATTCTGGAGGGGGGGGTCGCCACCCCCAAAATCAATAGGGGAGGTGAATTTGGGGGCGTTCTCACCGAGGATGAGGAGGGTGATGCCGTTGAAAACGGCTCCCACGTAGGTCAGCAACCACATGGTCAGGGCGAGCTGGGGGGGCACAGGAGAGGTTTTGGGGGGGGGTCCAGGGGGAATTTTGGGAGTGAGGGAGGAAGAGGAGGGGGAGGAAGGTCCGAACCTCCAGGGAATCCACGAGATCCTCCACCAGGAAGAGGCGGAGCAGCAGCTGCAGGCCCTGGTTCAGGTGCCGGGCCACCACGGCCGCGTGAGCCTGGAAACTCTCGGGGGACAACGTCACGTCCAGGTCCAGGTAAGCTCTGGGGAGAGAGGGGGGGGGGGGGGGGAACAGGTGAGGGGAGAGCCCAAAATCCCCACCCTGAATCCTAAAAATCTTCCTGCAACCCCTCTGGGAATCCCAAAATCTGCATCGACACCCCCAAATTTGTGTCCAAAGCCTGAAATTCCCCTCTAAGCCAAAGCCCTGGAGGGTCTCGGGGGACAGAGACTGAGGTGGGGACACCCCAAAATCCTCCTCTACACCCCCAAAATCCTCCTTTACACCCCCAAAATCCTCCTCTACACCCCCAAAATCCCTCCTCACACCCCCAAAATCCTCCTCTACACCCCCAAAACCCCCCCTGAACCGAGCAAACCAGCAGCCAGGCCACCTCCACGGTGACACTGCTGTCCCCAAACGGGGGCTTGGGGGTGTCCCCAAGTTCCCAACCCCCGCCCCCAGATTGCACTGGGGGGGACCCCAAAACCCCCTCCTCACCTGAAGGGGTGCCCCTCCTCGGATTTCTGCAGGGCCTGCACCACGGCCCTGTAGACCCGGAGGCTGATGGTGACCGAGAGCAGGGCCAGGGCCACGTGTGCCACCACGGTGACAGCGCTGAGCGTGGCCAGCGACAGCAGCAGCACCAGGCTGGCGCCGAAGGCCACCGCGCTCTTCTTCACATCCCGCCAGAAGAGCAGATCCTGCAGGGCTGGCGTGGACAGGGGACAGTCAGGGACAGCCAGGGGACACACAGGGGACACACAGGGGGACACACAGGGGGACAAGGAAGGCACGCGGGGTGACAAGGAGGGGACACAAAGGAGGACACAGAGGTGACAAAGGACAGGTCACAGGGGGACAATGAGGGGACACAAGGGGTGACAAGAACACGTCACAGGACAGTGAGAGGACATCGGGTGACACGGAGGGTCACAGGTGGTCCCTGTGCTGTCCCCAATCCCCACCTGGCACAGGGACAAAATTCCTCCCAATTCGCCCCAAACTGAGCCCGATGCCACCTTCCCTCTTCCCCCAAATCCACTAATTACCGTCACTCATTAAAACAAACCCCTTTGTTACACACAGGCCTTAATTGCATCCCCCCCACTAAAAACAGGCGTTAATTAACACCCCCCAAGTGTTCCGGCGGGTTTGGCCCCAAATCCCCGCATTTTACCCCAAAACAAGGCCCCCATGAACCTCCCCCCACCCCAGCACCATTTTGGGGTGGGGTCTCCCCGTTCCTCCTGTTTTTTGGGTTTTTTTAATTTTTTTCCCCATTTTGGGGTGGAAAAGGCCCTTTTTGGGGCTTTACCTGCCAGGCGGGGGAGGGGCCCGGCCGGGGGGGGCCGGGGGGGCTCCCCCAGTTCCCGCAGCGCCCGCAGGGTCTGGTGCTCCTGCTCCCAGTGCCGGGAGGCGGCGGGGGGGGAGCCTGGTGGCACGGGGACATCCCTGGGGACAGCGGGGACATCCCTGGGGACATCCCTGGAGACATCCCCGGGGACAGCGGGGACGTCGCCCGGCCCCTCCTCGATGACGGTGTCGTCCGAGTCACCGGAGCTGTCGGCGTCGGTGGCGACAGCGGAGATGGCACTGCCACCGCCGGGGACACCGCCGGGGACACCGCCGGGGACATTCCCAGTGCCGGCGGTGCCATTCCCAGTGGCGGTGACGTCACTCTTGATGTCGGGGACAGAGGTGACAGCGCTCCCAATGCCAGGGACAACACTGGTGATGCCATTCCCGATGGCACCGCCAACACCGGCGACGCCATTCCCCATGCTGGTGACACCAGTTACACCACTGCCAGTGCTGGTGACACCGGTGACGACACCGCTCCCAGCACCGGTGACACCAGCGACGCCATTCCCGAATCCGGTGACACCAGTGACACCATTCCCAGTGCCATCAATGCCATTCCCAGTGCTGGTGACACCGGTGACGGTGCTCCCAACACCGGTGACACCATTTCCAACGCCGGTGACGCCATTCCCAATGCCGGTGACAGCGGTGACAGCGGTGACAGCGGTGTCGCCGTTCCCAGCGCTGGCCACGCCGTTAGCGACGCCGAGGCCGCCGCTGTCCCCATCGATGTCCCCGCTGTCGCCGGGCTGTCGCTCCACCAGGTCCCAGGACAGCAGCTCGCTGGTGAAGCTGTGCATCTCCCGCACGCACCGCGACACCTCCTCCAGCGCCGCCGCCGAGCCGGGCGGGGGCCGGCCCAGCCCCGCCGGGCCCCTGCCGGGGACACCGGCGACACCGGCGGGGACAGCGGGGGGGACGCCGGGGACGCCGCGGGGCTTGGGCGGGAAGTGGCAAACGCGGCCCTCGGGGATCTGGGCGAGCGCGGGGCCGAACTCGCGGTCGAAGGCGGCTCGGTCCGGGACCACCTCGAACGGCGACTCCGGCGACTCCGGGGGGCTCTGGGGGACCCCCCCGACCGGGGACACCCCCCGGTCACGCCCGCCCGGGGCCGCTGGGGGAGGCGGAGAGGGGGGGGGGACACGGTCAGGGGAAGGGGTTGGGGGTCCCCCACCCTCGTGCACCCCCCGCGAGGATTTTGGGGTGTCGTCCCCCCACCCATCCCAGCCATGCGGTTTTGGGGTCTCCACGCAGAGTTTTGGGGTTTCGCCCCCAAACCCCCCACCCCCCCCCATTCCAGCCATGCTGGGGAACCCCTCTCCAAAATTCAGGGGTTCCCCCAATCTCAGCCATGCACGGGGATGGTTTTGGGGTTCCCACCCCCCCCCCAGAATTTTGGGGGTCCTCCATCCCGGCCATGCAGGTGGGGGTCAAGCGGCGGCACAGAGGTTCCTCCCCCCCAAATACACCCCAAAATCTGGGGAGGAGAGACCCCATTTTGGGGTTAAACCCAAACTCCATCTTGGGGCTAAAAATCCCCATTTTGGGGCTAAAACCCCAAATCCACTTTGGGGCTAAAACCCCCATTTTGGGGTTAAAACCCCAAATCCATTTTGGGGCTAAAACCCCCATTTTGGGGCTAAAACCCCAAATCCATTTTGGGGCTATCCCATCCTCGGTTTGGGTTCACAACGATGTGGGGGTGGCCCAACTGAGCACCTCAGTTTGGGGCTAAACCCTCTGATTTTGGGGTTCGAGCCCCCAGCTTGGCGTCTGGTGCGAGGCTGGGGGTGGCACTCAGCCCCCTCCTCATTTTGGGGGGGGATTTTGGGGTCTCTCCCCCCTCCAT